TTGTTAAGGTGGACAGAGGAAAGGACAAATGATCACCCTTTGAGAAAAATAAGTCCCTCCAGCCAAATCTATGCAGAACCTTGAAAAAGAGACAGCAACCAGGCATTATTTTTACAGCACACCGAGAAACATGACATTCAGAGACATTTGACAATATATCATCACAATGGAATTTTAAGTGCATCTCTTAATTCCCCAAGTATAACCCATCCTGGAGTATCAAGCTGAATCTGAAATGCTGAGTCTGGCTGACTCATCTTGGATTGTAGCAAAGCACCAAACTTGTTAACAATGGAGAATGGTACAGATTTGTATTTCTAATAGTGCTGACTTAGTGAAGTGTGTACAGAGCCAGCGCTAAATAAACGGGAAGTGATTTCCCACTTAGTTGGCGCAGATGAGAAAAAACTGATGAATGAAATGCTCTTGTTGTCTAAGTAACAAATTCCCCACCTGCTCAAATATGACTTCTTTCAGTCCAACAGTTTTTCTTAAGTGCTGCGGGGAGGAAGAGAGTGAGAGCAAGTAAGTGATTAAAATCACAAGAGCAAGTAAGTGATTAAAAACCAAGTTTAATCTATTCAACCAAGTTTAATCTCTATTCAAAATCCACTAGATTTCAGAGGCACTTTTGCAGTCCTCTGCTTAACAAAAATATAATTAAAACTCAACAATCGATATAACTGTTCTGTGGATATACATCTCTTGTCTGCCAGTATATGATATACGAACAATTTTATATCCATTGTAAGTAACTTGGAGGGCTTTAAGTAGCAAAGTCTGTAAAGTATTAATGAAAGCTGGATCTAAGAAAATCCAGAAGGGCTATCTATATCTAATCAGGATAGGGTGGGAAAGAAGGCTTCAAATGCAATAGTTACAGAAAGTTATGTAGCAGGAAAATAGTAGATCTAACATTTTAATTCTACAACAAAACTGAAAGTAGATACAATCTACAAAGCAATCCGTACCCCCACATAGAAAAACTCTTATTTAAAGGATTAGAGTGTCCAGGAAAAAAATACAATGTTACCTTTAATATTGCAATTGGCCTAGGGTTAATTTATATGGCAAGGGGATATCTGTCATACTTTATAGATATTACTTTGGTGCTGGAATTACATGGGACTGTTCTTGAATAAAGCATAAATGACCAGATAACTGCAAATTAAGTAGACAGATAATTACAATCATAAAATACCAGCCAACTGTTCATAATGTGATTTCAACAAGTGCACAATGCAAAAGCAAAATAACCAACACATTTAAGCAAGAATTCTGAAATAGCTAATGAATCAGACCAAAAGTATACCTTGCATTCTAGAAAGCGCTTAAAACATGTCTTCTTTTTAAACCTCTTATTGTCAACAAATTGAACTTTCAAGCAGGACTAGTAGAGTCTTGCATTGGAGGACTAAAGCAAGGAACTCATCTTCATCCACCATAATTTATGACTATCAATTAGACACTGATTCAAATTCCAAAATTCCCATTTTATTCCCCACCATTTTTTTGTCAGTAGCAAAATTTCTACTTTTTTTACTTTTTTTTTTTTGAAATTTCTTTGTCAGTATTTCAAAGTTCCATATCTTTTATCTGAGGTCTTTTTAGATCTATATACTCAGGGAAAAAATTGACAGCTAACAAAACCACTCCTGATCTGTCAGTTTTGAATTCCTCAAGTACAAACGTGGACTCATTCATACATATAATGCTTGAATTGCCTGGACTCCATATGCTCCTGTTTTAGAATACTATGACTCAATTTAAACAATGGAACAATTTATAATGGGTAATTAGCAGCAGTGAACTATCTTGTCCAAACTAAGTCTGTTTTAAACATAGCAGCTTGATTCTTTTGAAAAGAGAAGCCAAGGGCTCTAATAGAATTTTTTTCCCACAGTACATTCCCATGTTTTCTAAATGCATGCAACTGATCTGACCACAGATAAAGGGAAGCTTTAGTGTTCATCAAAAGTAGCCAAAAGAAGAAATCTTTCTGCTCTTGGTGATTTTGCTCAGATTGTGACCAGTAACAGCACTTCCAAAGTGCACAGGTGGCACATTGAAAGGGCTGTCATTGGTTGGCCACTTTTAAAAAGAAAAAAAAAAACATGCACCAAATGTGTACATGCTTTCCTTTTTTTTTCTGTCCAGACATGGGCAAGTGTGGGGGTATGCTTTGGTATTTCTAGATATGAAGCCTTGCTTGGGCAATATCCTGGAGGAGGATACCTGCTGTCAAAGTGCAACAGATGCTAAACCTGGCTTTCCCAACAACAGTCAAAACCCCTTGCTCCTATATGGTTTTAACAAGCATCTCTATGCCAACCTTTTTAAACTCACACAGTCTCTTCAGATTCACTAATTTTCACTACTAGAATATAGGGAGAGACAAGGAAGAAAACATGCCCCCTTTTGCAATGATCCCCATAGCTACTGTTTTTCAGAAGGCTAGAAGAGATTATTCATTTAAAATTGGAATGACTCAGTGGATGGAAACGGTTGCTTTCCTTGAGGGATTCCCTACTTCTCTGCCCTCCCAGTAATTCATGCACTGGTTGAACTTCCTCTGTGGTGGCAAATCTAATATTCCTACCAAGACTGAATGTCTCAGTTAAGTGAAAGGACGACAAGGAGTCCTTTTAAAGTATGTCCTTTATGTAGCAAAGCAGGTGCTGCTTTGCTTCTCTAATGTGAGTAGCCTACAGTGCTAGTGCTCCCCTGGGTTAAGAGCACATCCCATGAGATGGAGGAAGTCTCTGGTGTGACTCTTGGTGGTCATTAAAGAGCAATCCTATGCATGCTTGAAAAGGAAAAAAACGGCCTGCGACTTCTACTGTGCTCCAGCTGGGCTGGTCCATGCTGTGAACAACTGTAGAACTACTTCTTGTCTGTACATCCCAATTTGCAGGGTGCCCTGAGGCCCATTCTGCCCCATTCTGCAGCATGAAGACAAAATAGTAACAGTGACCTACCTTAAAAGACTATTGCAGGGATGAACAGGAATGTTAAATACATTGAACAGACACAAACACCAAGTGAAGCAAACTAACAGGACCCTGTCAGACTTTCCAGCAATTCCTCATGTGTTATTTGGCACCCCTATGGCATTTCAATCAGGGTCGGTTGGCTTGGTTCTGAATCCAACTGGAACTCAGTTTTCAGTGGCAAGACAGTCCACCTGAATTTCCAAGGGAGCAGCAGTGTTAGGGTGTTTCCAGAGAAGTCATTTTTGGGTCTATCGCCCTTTCTCATTGCTGGAGTGTCATGTGAGGGTCTTTCACTTGTAACTTTACTTGTTTTCCTACTGCTTCTTCTTTTTTCTTATCACAAAAAACCCAGCAAGAGTGGCATGGTGCCTTCCAAGTGTCTAACAAAACTGTTATGACATAAACTTTTGTGAACTAGAATCCCTTTTTATCAGATGAAGGCCTGATCTGAACTCAGGACTGATCCTCCTGCGAAAACATACCCCATAAATGCTACTGTTTATGTTTATACCGAATGGACTGTGACGTGCCAATTGTGCATGTAAACTCTTTCCTTTTCCGTATCAGAAAGCACCCTGTTGGTCTTCAGTGACGAGAGCACTTCAGAGAAGAAAAGGTGTCCTTCCCACCGGCCGCCCACAGCGGAGCTTTCCCTCCTCCAGAGCTGTCGTTTCTGCGGGAGTTGTAATCTGCGCCCCCTTCATCCTTACCAAATTATTCCCAGGACTCTAGGGGCATTAATCTTGTATATATATATAAAGGGTCGCTTGCCTGATTCCTTTTGTGCTTTGGACGTTTTTGGCACGAGTTCAGATTTAAACACAATAGGCAAGCCTAATTTTGTAGTCATGTTAGCGAAAGCCGTTAGCACAGAAGAAAAACATCCTGTCTAATTCAAAAGGGTGGGATCACCCCGCTCCCTTTCCAGGGCCTTCATCGCCCTGGAATGAGGAATGTTTTTGCTCTGAAAATTGGAACTCGTAATTTCTCCGCCTCACGCCAAGTGATGAAGCCTGCCCAGACCGCCCTTTCCCTTCCTCCTCATCCTCGCGACTTCCAGCGAATTATCTGGTCGGGAGCCTCCTTCCTCGCTCCGCCGCCGGTTCCATTCGAGGCCTTCGGGAGTCGCGATTAGAACTACCTGCGAGTCAGACGGCCTGAGCGCGCGCCGCTTCCCCGCGCGGGGAGCGCCCCTTCCCTCCGGCCGCCCAGCGTATTTACGCCGCCGCGCACGGGCCGGTCCCAGCACCGCTGCTTGCGCGGGGAAAGACGTGCGCGACGGCGCCTCGAGGCCCGCGTTTCCTGCCCACGCTCGGCTCTCCCAGGCTCAGCAGCGCCAAACCATTAATACCTTCCCAGCCCAATTAGACCAGAGGCAACTTCCATTGGTCAGCTCCGGGGCTTTCCCCCAGACTCTCATTTGCAATCTGCGCCGTCGATCAATGTGTGTGTTTTTAGCACCCCCCCCGCCCGGCTCCCACCCCCCGCGCGCGAGCGAGGAGACGCGCCCGCTGCAGGTAGAGCAGCGCCTCCGCTGCTGGGGACGTCGCGTCCTCAGGCTTTTCTTTGCAAAGGCAGAAAAGTTTCCGCAGCGCGCCTCCGAAGAGTTCCCTTTGGGTTTTCCCCAGCAGCCAGGCTCGGGGAAGAGGAGGAGGAAGCTCCCGCTATGCTCCGAGGGGAGGAAGGCGAGCGGCCGCTGTGACCGGCCACCGCCACCGCCGTCCCGTGGCTGTCCCGCCGCGCCTGCCGCAGGTTGCTGCCGCCGAGCGTTGCTCGAAGAGGCGGCGGCGGCGGCTTTCGCAGGGCGAGCGCCCGGTGAGGAAGCTCGCCCGGGCGCCGCGTGCGCGCGCGTATCCCCGTCCCTCCCGCTGCAGCCGAGGGGGAGGGGACAGCGACGAACCGCGCATTGTTCCCCTGGCAGGCGACTCCTCCCGGGCCGGGGGCTCCTCGCCTTTGTTCCCCGCCCGCCCGCGCCTGGCTTTCCGCGCGCCCCTTCGCGCGACCCGCGGCGTAGAGGGGCGCCTTCGCGGGCGACATGGACGCGACCATTTCCGAACTCCTGGAGCTCTTCCTGCAGAGCCCCTTGGTGACCTGGGTGAGTTCGCCGCGCGGCGTGCGACGCGGTCCCGGTTGCTTGGCGGGGCGCGGCGGCGGGGCGCTCCGCTCGGAAGGCCGGCGCAGGGCGGCGGGGAAAGCCCCAGGGGGCTCCTTCTCGGGGGCACTGGGAGGCCCCCGCGGAGAAGCGTGCGGTGGGGCGGGGGCAGGCTCAGGCTCCTGGGGCGACCCGCAGCCGCGAGGGCATGGTTGCGTCTTTGTTAGAGTTGCTTTCCTCTCGTTTCCGCGTGGAGACAAGTTGGTGCGATGCAACTGTGTGTGTTAATGTTAGCGGAAGTCACTTTTCTAAAATACAACGGAGAAATAAAAGGACTGGATTCCTTGAAACTGTAAGTTTTCGGAAGCGTGCCCGTTGCTAGGGTCGCCGGATCAACATGTAAGCACGCACACACGCAACAGACAAAGCAAATACTGTGCAACGGTGCTAGGAAGAGTGCATCCATTGTGCACTGCGGAAAGGAGACATCCGTGTGAAAGAGCCCCGCGCCTCCTGCACTGGAGGCTGCCTTCTGTTTTAGAGGATGTGGCGCTCTGCTCCCTGCGAGGTGTCAGAAGTTGCCTCGTGGAGTGTCTGTGAAGGGAAACCGTTTAAACTAGACGCGCCTGTGCCTTTTAACTGCTGAACCTGACTCAGACCTGGCACTGGCTCCCCAGATGATGCTCCTCTGTAAGAAGAAAAGGGCTCAGCGAAATGCAGCCCATGCGTAGCGCTGGCTTGCCATGTGCTCCAATGTGCACGCACACCTCTTGCTGCTCTGCTCACTCTTGCCAGCCCCGTGGCTTTCTTGCCCACTCCTTCTGGGCAAACTGTGTCCATATGGTGAAGCAGTTGTGGGTGTGGGTGCTGGTGCGCGCACCATCATACATGTGGTGATATTCTTGTGCTTTGTGTGCTACTTCCTATGCATAAATGCTGTTTGTGTAAGAAACTTCTTACTGGTTTAGTTCGTGGTACATATTCCTATTTTTGGATAAGAATGTCCTAACAAGGGCAAGAAGATTTTGCTCACGTTTGCTAATCAGGTGTTCTGAGGTTTGAAAGAGCAAGTGTGTCTGCTTGTATCCAGAGGAAGAAAAGTTGTTGAGTTTTGAGAGGTCCCAGCAGGACTTAAGTTTTTTTGCACTTCTGTCACAAAATTATATCCTGTTAAAATGTTTCTCAGAATGGGAGGAGCTTGTGGAAATAACTGCAAAGAAAGGAAGCTAGGTTTTTTTAGTACACTTTAAGAAGTGGTGTGCAAAAAAAGTACTTTTTTCCTCCTCACAGCCTAACGTTACCTTTATGTTTGACTGATGTGTTGAAAGCAAAGGGAACAAAGAATGTTTAACTTGGGCTGGATTGTGAAGACAATCAGAATGAAATTAAGGGCAGTCTCTTTCACTGTTTGTCATGAACAAGATTTTTTCTTCCGATATTGTATGCATCCCCATCTGCATGCAAATTATGCATAAGGCTCTAGGCTGGGTTTACCCATGAAGAATAAGATGATACACTTGATTGAACCAGAGCACATTGCAGGTGGGCGATCTGCAATTTTTAACCTTCTTAAAATTATCTTCTTGTAAACAGAAGAATGGCAGAGCAGAGAGAGGGCTAGGCATAAACCTTCCCTCCCAATGTATAGCTTATGCAAGGCAAGTTCTTGCATAGACAAGGATTCTAGAATTTTCACTTGTCCCAGGACTCGGACTGTGTAAGCATTCTGTCATCCCATTCTGCTACACATGTAAGTCCAGCCCTAAGTATCATCTGGTATGCTAGCAAAAGTAATAGGAGTGAGCTAAGTTTATAATGCTCACTCGTATTAGAAAGCAAACCTTTTGTTAATCTGGCCACTCAAGACTTAAAACAATCCTAGTCCTGATTCCCATTCAAAACAAACAAACAAACAAAACACAAGTATAGCAACCTGGGTTTTGGATTACAGTTCCCACAATCTCCATCGGAAGCACCAGACTGCTTAGCCCCAGGCATTGTTAGGGTTACAAGGAGAATCAGAATGGATTTAATTTGGAAGAAAGCTAGAGCTTTCTCAAAAGCTTTTGAGATAGGTTTATCACAGAAACTATGATGGAGTTTCTTTAAAGTCAGTAGGTATTTTTTCCACATATCTTTATCTAGTTGTATGGCTGTAGATGTCTTGGGTGAGGTTGAAAACTGAGTTTCATTTTTGGGATCACTTTCTAAAATAACTCTTTTTTTCTGGCAGGTGAAAACATTTGGACCATTAGGGAATGGAAATGAAGAAAAGCTCTCAATGTACATGGATCTAGTAGATGGAGTCTACCTGAACAAAATAATGCTGCAAGTGTAAGTTACAATTAAATAATTGAGGGGGAGAAATGAGTTCGTGTAATGCTGTGCATTTAGATGTGATGGAATGAAAGCATTTATATTGGAAATCAGTGCCCTTGACTGGATGCCTTAGTTTCTAGGTTGGGTGGCCATAACCCTTTCCTTATTTGCCAATGTAATCATGATTATCACAAAACAGCATTTCCCTCTATGCTGCTCTATTCCTATTGAGAGTTTTTCAGTAAAGGGTGCAATCCTATGCATGTTTAGGTAGAAAAAAAATCCTACAATGGTGGGAGTTGCAGGAATGTATTTTGGGCCAAATTAAAAAGGAAATAGTATGTTCCAAAACCCACATTCTTGTGCAGGAATACATCTCAATGGTGGCTTTTTTGAAAAGGAAAAAAAAGATCCCATTGTTCAGCAGTAGAGTATATGATTCACACACACATGATTCCAGGTTCAAATCCTGTCATCTCCAGTTAAGGAGCAGGGCTGGAGATGATCTTGGGGTTGCCAGTTGGTGTTGGCCTGCCTATTTCAGCCTGGGTTCCTCCACCTGTTTTGGCATACAATCCCTGCTGTTCCTGACCAAGGAGCATGGTGGCTGGACTGATGTGAATTGGGATGCAGGGATGCGGACAGTGTGATGCTAGATGGACCAAGCAGTTGGTGTAAGCCTCTTCATACACAGTGTTGTTACAGGTGGGATAATAAAAGCCTTCCTTTTAATAAAAGCCTTCCTTATTAAGTAATGCTGTTGAGATACAGGACTGTTTTCTTTTTAAATGTGAAGCTTTAATATACCACATGTTCATCCACTGTGAATACACTTCTATGTATAAATTGAACTAAATCTGTGTTTACAAGCTATTCCAAGCATGGAACCATGAGATAAGTACTTATCCTAAAACAGTCATGGAGGGAGGTAGGAAACAGTGGTGTCTGCAAGAAATTTGATTTGTGCATAAATAATTCTCCCGCTCTTCATTTTTTTTTTAGCTCAGTTAAGCCTGACTTTGACCACATCCCTTCCTGTTGCAGAGTTTGTAACATGATGAAACGGACCAGTTTCATGTGTGCTTCATTTAAAAAAAATGCCTTTCAAAGAGATGATCGTATTTAGTCTTTAGAAGCTTTCATTTCAAAAAGGTATAAAGTTGTCTTCAAGCTGCTGCTGCCGCCATCCAATAGAATTGAGTTTAAGCATTCACAGATATTCACAGTTACAGAAAGAAATGTGAAGCATGTTAAAAACGGCAACTCTTGGAATGCCTCCATGGAACTGCTTTTCTTTTTTCCTTTATAGGGCCTTTCTCTTTCTTTATAGGCTTCATGGCAGCAAGCCAAGTTATGGCTCGGCATCAGCAAAACTAAAACCTTTTTCTGGAAAGGTTGGGTCCATTTAACCAAAATGGTGGCATATGTTTACGCCTTAGTCTAGGCTTGCTACATGGCATTTCCTGACTAGTTGTTTAGATTCTGTAAAGCACTTAACTGCCTTGCCTGTAAATCACGTACTTTTTTTTCTTCCTCCACACCCACAAATTGCTCTTTTCTCCTTTGAAGGCTCCATGAAGAGAAGAATGAAAATGCATTTCAAATGCAGACTCATCAGTTTTCCAGGCCTGATATAAATCTGTCCTTACGTATTTGGCTTGGTTCCTTCTTGTGCTGGCTCCTGCCAGATGTGATAGTATATTTTCTGACTTGTTGCAATAATGTAAGTTACCTTGGCAGATGCTCATGTTCCTTACTACCTGCTTTGGAGCATCAGTACATTAAATAGCAAAGTTCCTTCTGTTAAATTGTCCAAAATTTTTCTTGCCAGTGATGCTAAAGCTGTCCTTTGTTCTGTTCGTTACCTGAATACATGGCTTTACCTCTTGATGGCTGGATCTGGATTGTTCTGTTTTCCCGTTACTGCAGCCAACTTCATGGTGCAGCAAAGCTGTGTTAACAAGAAGAGGTTATAGAGGAGGCTGTATTATTAATAACACTGATACTGCTTTGCATAAGAGCTGGTGTGTTTTGGGTCTTGAAAGTAGAAGAAGAAACTGCCTCTGGCATTGAGTTGTGCTTTCTTATCATTGCTTCTCTCTGTAAAAAACTGTTGTGTTCAGCCATATCATGCTAAGATGTAGTGGGTTCCTGTGTTACCATTTTATTTGAGAGTGACCTAAGAGAGTGACTTTGCTTGGACCATTTGCTATGGTCTCCAGCTTGAACCAAGGTTCCTTGGGTCTTGAATCAAGATACTGGCCTGGTTCACACATAGTGCTAATCCTTTAGCCCGTGGTTTGTTGCTGTATACAAGGTTTGTCTGATGATCAAACACATATAGTTTTTCTCGGTCTCTTGGTTGTCTGTTTCCCCCCTTTGTTCACTTCCACCCTGAAATCCCAAATGTCTTTGCAGTGACAACCTGTAATTTAAACAACCCAGAGTTCACAACTGAATGACAAACTATGGGCTTTCTTTCTGGGTTCTTTGTGGCTAGCAAACTGATTTGTTAGGATGGCCATGTTCATATACCAGCATTCAGCAACTCATACCATGAGTAAATGTTGCATACTAAGCAGGCCATCAGCTTTCAAGCTAGAATGGAATAAATGTTTTGATGAAAGAGCAATGCATAGAGTGGATCTAAGCTCATTAAACTAAGTTGCTGTGTTATATAGATTTTAAGGTAGTACTTTCTTACATTTCAAAGCAACAGAATAGATGGGTTACCCAGTGTGCATAGATCTGGCAAATGTAGATGCTGGTCTGTGGGTAGGTGGGTGGGTGGTGGAGCTGTGATTTGATAATTAGACTACTGGATTGAAGATGGTGTGACTGTGGGCTTCTTTCCCTGCAAAACTCTTAGCTTTCATTGTCTGCATTTCGAAATTTGGCAATTGATTTATAGCCTGCCTTTCCTCCATGGAGTCTGAAGTGGAGTTCATGATTCATACAAGAAAAGGCTCTCTCCAGCTGCTAGTCCTGATGGCTATATACTGCTTCCAGTAGCAGAGGCAGTGTGCACCAGTTGCTGGAGAGCATGGGCTGGAACTGTTGAGGGATGTTGGGAGCCATAGGCTAAAACATCTGAAGGGCCACGAGTTGCCCATCCTACAGTAGAAGAGGCTTCTCCAGCTTTGGGTCTCCAGATGTGGTTGGATTACAGGTCCCATCATCCCTGACCATTTGCCATGATGACTGGGGTGATGGGAAGTTTAGCTTAAGCATATTTCTATTTACAACTGAGGACCTCAACATGGAGAACTCAATCTTTGGAGACTGAGTAAAACCTCAGTGCCTCCAATAGCCTTAGTAACTCTGATGTGCTTTGAACAGACATTTTCTCTGCCTTAAAGGCAAGAACAAACCTGCATTCTGTTTCATGGCAGTGCATTTAAGTCAGCACACTCCCTACACTCTAGTTGAGACTAAGGGACCAAAACCAACATTTATTTTCTATCTAACAGTTAGGTCTTCTTTGCTATTGCTTTTACTCTGATACACATGCCAGGCAGATCTGGACTTGAGTGGAAAGAGGGGTGCTTTTAAGAACTGAATTGGGGGCCCCTGCACCTATTCCAGAGGAAAAAAAGGTGGGGGTGATGTCGTCGCTAGACAGATTCTAAGCAGCGTCTGTTTTGGCTAACACCTAAATAGTTTTATCTCTTGCTGTTCGCTTAGGGAATTATTTTTAGCTCATTGATCTAACCTGCCCACATCACTTTTCCTGTTCAAGAACTTTTTGGTCTCTTTCCCCTTCAAGATGATTTTATGGGTTAGTTAGAAACAAGCTTGAATCTGGGTTGGTCATGAGGTGCAGGGCTGCGTTGATAAAATTGGTCACGAGCTGGGCTTTTGTTGTGAATTGATTGACCAAACTTGGATTCTTTTCATTACATCTGTGCTTTTAGTGGATTTATGGTAGTTTTAATCTCTTATGAACTGGGTATAGCAGTTTTATGTTGCAGTCTTAGCATGCTGTGATGGTTTATGTGAAGTTTTAAATGCTTGCAAGTGACTAGGATTATTTATTTCTTGATAAAAGCAATCAATGCATTTTATAAATAGCTGTGGTTGATTAACAACAAATCTATTGAAATATTTGGCCTGCGGATAGATAAACTGATAGAAGCAAACCTTCAGTCAGCCCACATAATCTGCATAATAGACTAGATTCAAACTAGCTGGTCTGTTCTAGTGGGCAATTCTTCAAGCCTAGCACAAATAGTCATGCATTCGTTGTTACAAACTAGCCTTCCCCAAGCCAGTTCCCTCCAGCGGTGTTGGACTGCAGCTCTGATTGTCCCCACCCAGCATGGCCACTGGCTGTGTTTGCTGGGCTTAATGGGGTTTGCCCCACAAGGCATCCGGGGAGTCCAGCTGTCTCACTCAGACTAAGCCTGGTAACAGAAGGAGACAAACGCATAGGCAACATGCCCTTTCAGTAAGTTTCTCTACCAGGTAATGCACAACCCTTGACTAATATCTTCGTGACAACCTACATTTCTCTGAACTCATGGGATACATATTAGCTTCATGGGATGCTGCATAACTGTTCTGTCTTCTGGTCATTCAACAGGAACTGTGTAGTCTCATAGCCAGAGTGTTAATCCGGGGCTTGTTTTGTTTGGTGGTGCAGTGGTAGGAAGAAATCAGAAGAAGGAAAATTACGTATCAGGAGTGGCCAGACTTGCTCAGTGGAAGGGCCACATACTGTCAATGTCAGATGCTTGAGAACTGCGAGACGTGAACAAATATTTATTTATTATGACCAGACAGACATTGCTACAAGAGACATACTGCAGATAAGAGGTTTACTTGCTGCATAGATACTATCCGCAACAAACCCTTCCCCAAGCCAAGGAACAACGAGACATCCAATCAGCTTGTTTAGTAAGAAGAGGCCCTTTACCAATCATAGGTTACAATTGTGTTGCCCTTTTTTAAAAAAGTAGCTCAGGATGGTGCACTTGAAAACCGCCATTTTAGCTACACAGGAACCCTCTGAGGTA